CGGCAGCAGGGATTTCACATACTTTACATTTTGAAATGATAGCTTCTAATTCAATCTACATTTCTGCGATGTCAAGCTTCTACCTACCTTTTTACTTGCACATAGCTAGATAATCAGGTGACGTAGATTAAATTGGGGCTAATCATTTCAAAATGTAAAGTATGTCAAATCCCTGCTGCCGAGAACGGGAAACCCTGTCGATTAGCCGTTGGCCCGAAAGGCCCGCCCACAAGATCGAAACGTCATGAAACCAAAAGGCCGCCATTTTTAATACATCAATGGATGTATGATTTGGTTAAATAGAGACTTAACATTCTTATGAAACAGATAGTAAATACTTACTTATTTGATTAATCAAGACATAAGCTGGAATTGATAGAGCAGTTATATTATGTAGAGTTTATTAGCAGTTCATTAGCAAACAAAAGAAAAACCTGTCATTGATTAGAAAAAGTGAGAAAGATCCGTTTGAACCCAATTGTATATTCATGTGTTTGCTAAAAACATTGTTCTCATTTTTTTTTACTGTATGTGTACCTGTAATTTATCACACAGGAACACAAATTCTACATTTACCAACAGCACTTTATAGTACCATTAATTGTAATTTAATTACGCAGTTTTACCTAAAATAAGTACCAGATTACATTGTTCTTTCTAAGAACTCAACTCAAATTGTAAAAAGCCCCATGAAGAGTCACAGGTGGGGCTCTAAATTAATATTATGAATGTAACAGAACCCTATGTCTCCAAAAAACACTGTTACATTTCTAATCCAATGTGTTTGTGCGTTTCCAGGTCACGGCTCTGTGGACGACATGCTGGACACTGAAAACAAACGCCTGGCCGAGAACCTGGCGACCAAAGTCTCCAGACTGAAATCGGTGAGTCACAGCCAATAATTACTCTCTTCGTCTACCGGTTTCACCATTTCTCTCTAGTGTCCATCAGGGGGCGACTCCTCTGGTTGTATAGAAGTCTATGAGAAAATGACTCTACTTCTCTCTTGATTTATTACCTCAGTAAACATTGTAAACATGAGTTTATGGTCTCAATCTCTAGTTTCAAGTCTTCTTCAATACAGCATGATGTTCATTTAGTAAATTATGGTCCAATTAGAGTCAAACAGACCATAAAGCAGGGGATGCTTTAGGGCGGGGCTACACAGTGATTGACAGGTCTCTACCAGAGACGTCGTGTATCAGAGACGTATACGACATCTCTTTGTCACTCCTCCTCAGTCCAGATATGGTCACTTCTGTTCATTGATTGCAAAAAAACAACAACATGGCAACGACCGTAATCCAAGATGGCGACGGTGAAATCGCCGAACTCGAGGCTTCAAAACGTCAGTCCACAAACCAACGGGTGACGTCACGATGACGTCTTTTATACAGTCTGTGCAATCACACGCGATCAGGACGACACAAGAAAAACAAGTTTAAGAAGTTTAAGAATCCTGCGTTGTTTGTTTTTTAACCGGATAATCTGTCTTGTCTCTGAATCTCACAGCTAGCGTACGACATCGACAGAGAGGCTGACGATCAGAACGAGTATCTGGACGGCATGGTGAGTACTGACCAATAATTTATCGAAATATTACTTGTATAATATTACAAGAATTTACATGCCAAGTCCCTGGGCATAGCCGGGTTTCTGATTGGCTTCTTCTTCTTTTCACAACTTATCCCATGCTTCTGACAAAGGCTCATGTGAGATGTTGCCGGGGTCAATAATAATACAAACAGGTTGTCTCAGATATTGGCCAACTTCTCTGTACAGTTAAGGTTTATTAAAGACCTTTCACAATCTTTACTTCCTCTTCTCCTTCTCTCTTCAGGACTCTAACTTCCTGAGTGTGACGGGCCTGCTGAGCGGCAGTGTGAAGCGTTTCTCCACCATGGTGCGATCTGGCAGAGACAACCGCCGCATCCTCTGCTACGTCTCCGTGGGCCTCGTCGTAGTCTTCTTCCTGCTCTACTACATGGTCTCCAGGATCCAACGCTAACAGAGGGGGGAATAAAAAGCAATCAGCCAGGAGCTGGTGCGAACGACTCTGACGTCATTACTCGTCTCTGTGGTTCCACTGAGAAGACGTTTCATTCTGCACCTGAGTGAGAAAACTAACAGGAAGTAGACATAAAACATTTTGTTTTGACCAGCAGGGGGGGGGGGGACACAATGCTGAGCGTTGTCATACCAAAGACGCTGGAGTCTATTAAAACACACAAAAAAAAAATACCTGCACAACTTTAGTTCCCGTCTGCCGCAGCCCGGATGTGCTTATACGGGCAAGGAGAAGGTGGAGCCTGAACGCATCACGGGTGGAAGAAGAACCAACAACAGCTGAGTGGCCGTGTCTCAGTTCCAGACTACACAATCATTTAAAGCACTTTTTAAGTGGAAGCTAGTTACACTGCAAAAGTGACAAAATTATATAACATAACAATATAACAGACTAAAAATGCACAAAGGAAATTAAGGAACGACTCACGGCTGTAAAAGTATAAAATCTCTTGAAAAACATTGTGCTTTTGGGGGAGCATATTTTATTACTTCCTTTCAGTACAAAACAGAAAAGATGATTTGTATTCAAACAGCAAAATAAACGTATATAACGATATAATTGTATGTCGTGTGGAATTGAGACGCAGCAGCTTAGAGCAGCAAGTGACGTCGCCGTCTGCTATTGGCCGGTCTCCAGTGCAGCCGATGCGTCGGACTGTCAATCAACTGTTATTTTACATGTCTGTGTTTTGATTATATTAAACTGATTATATGTTTAAGAAAACTCTAAAAATGAAAGTTTTCAGCAGTTTAAGTTCAGTGTGTGTTTGCGGTAAAGGCCTGTTTCCTTCTAGTAATTAATATGAAATGGTGGTACCTGTTCTGTTATCTATATATTATGTTATAAATACATATATTATCATATAAGAGGGTTAAAAATAATTTACTTTCTCTATGTGTTTACATTCCAGATGTCTAAACTGCTAACAGCCGACATTGAAAATCGTTATTAATACACATGACATTAAATGGCTTTAATTGTAGAATTTGTTGGGGAGTTATTTAGGTTCTGGGTATAATGTAAACTAACGTGTGACAGTCATCAATAAAAAGGTGCATATTTTTACTATCAGAATCATGACTCTTTGTGAAGATGATCCTTGACTTCATAGCAGATGCAATAGATTCAATTGAAGATATATTTGTGTAAATATTACTTCCCAACATGGAGGTCTGACTATTGCGTCACATCAGGAATAAAGTTCTGACCGGGAAATGCAGTATTTTAACCCCGGCCTAAAAGTAGAATAAATGAGTAAAAGTAATGTAATGACCCTTTTAATCATATACCATATCTAATTAATCCCAAAATACCAGTGAAAATATAGAAAATACTGTGTTCTCAGTGGTAGTTACGGCCTAGAATTAACATTTCATCTTGATTTAATGGTGGAAAGTACATTTACTCAAGTACACATTTGTGGTACTTGTACTTTATTTGGGTATCACCTTTTAATCATACTTTGTACTTCTACTCAACTACTTGTACTTCTACTTGTAACTGAGTATTTTACAGTGTGGTATAAGTGCTTTTACTTAAGAAAAGGATCTAAATACTTCCTCCACCACCGCCTTGTTTGCAAAGCTCCAACTCGTTTCTTAAATAAATAATATTTAAAAAATATATGAAATATAATTGTCTTTATAATTATGTTCTCTTATTCCAATATATTTCACGTTATTCTCTGCATGTGTGTGAATTGGCCGCTGTGTGTCGCTTCGGATCCACTCGTGTTCTTTCGGTATTCTCCTGTGCGTCTCTTTCCTGGCCGCTGTGTGTCGCTTCGGATCCACTCGTGTTCTTTCGGTATTCTCCGGTGCATCTCTTTCCTGAGACTTCATGAGAAAACGAATAGCCGAGCGGCCGTCCTCCTGCCGTCTCTCCGGAACAGCTTTTGGACGTCTTCCGTTGATTTCGCCGATTCGGTGAACGGATTACAAGCGTTTTTGCGGATTGGTTTCGAGTTCGTACCGGACTCGGCTGCGCTCGGGACCCACGCGCTTGGCCCTCTCGGGTTGTTGCTCGGTCATATTCGGCTCTTGTCGTATCGGCGGTTAGGGAAATGGACGAAGCGGACTCGGCCACGAAGGCGCTCGTGCTGGATGAACCGGAAGTGGGCTCGGATACCGAATCGGAGGCCGAAGTCACCACGATGGCCGTGATGGCGGACCCGGGAAACCTCGACATGGAATCCGAGTCCATGCCGAACTCAGACGAGGCCGAGGCGGCTTATGCAGGCAAGCTAGTAGGCCTGAGCTGAGCATGGGTGGCGCTGAAACGCACAGTGTGATAATAATAATGGCAGTGTTGACAGCTGCACTTCGTGTTTATAATAATAATAATAATAACTTTATTTGTACAGTACCTTTAAAAACAGAGTTTACAAAATGCTTTGACAGACAAAGCAACAACAACAAGACAACAATACTATACTATATATACATATAGTATATATAGTATATATATATTACT